AAGTCTGTTCAAGAATATCAACTTCATTAAAACTTTAAAGACTTAATCCTGAGTTACGGCTTGATGAGATCTCTGTGGGATGAAAGAAATCAAGAGATCACAGTACCTGCTATTTTAACACGACCTTACAATGGAAACATCATTTGTTGATGAGAATGCACTGCTGTAGAGAAAACAGGATTATAAAAACACATACAAAATATCAGTTTAAACCCTAGGGTGGGTTTCTAAAGAGAAAAGCCTGGGTTTTTTTTAACAAGACATTAAGCCAAATATCATTTAATTAGGCTGATTTTGTAGTTCAGATATGAGTCATACTTTTAAAGGAGAAAATACAATAAGACTACTTGCTATAAATGTAAAGTATCACCTGTCATGTGAATGTATTCTTGATCTATATATTGACCAGAATTATTTCAGTTTATAAAAATCTAATTTATATTCCATAAATTACATGATTAAGCATTTCTCCTTTTTTTGTCAGTTTTCTTCTTGAAGTTTCTATTTTCTGTGATGCTTCCTTCATCAACATCAAAGGACATATTTGATAGTAAAATTTGGAATGAGTATGCTCTTAGATACTATACATCTACCAAAACAAGTCAGAAAAATACTAAAATATTTTGAGTAACCTCAATTTTTATAACACAAACAAGGACTCAGAAACAAGCAGAAACAGGGACTCAGAAAAACGACAAATGAAAATCAACAAAATTTAGTAAAATTATAATCACTTCTTTGATTTATTTTATCCAGTCGGTATAAATATACCACATCATTCTTTAAGAGGGAGGTAATATAAAACCAAAAACTTAAGTTATGAAAAACATCTAATGTTTTTTAGGTGAGGAATTTTCCTGATTACTTCTGATTTTTTAATGCTCTGGTTTGAGGGAAGGGATTAAATTATATAGAAAAATAATAAAATCACAAAATCACTTAAAATACATAGATTTAGGCTTAACTAACTACTCTGTACTTTCCAGAGAGGCTCTCATTTGAAAACTCAAAGAGTGATACGAATGACCTCCAAGGTTCCTGGCTGCTCCAACATTCAAAGATTCTATAAACACCTTTCCCTTCCTGATGATGAATGCTATCCATTACCTGCAGCAACTCCTGAGTCAAAACATAAATAATTCTGGAGTCAGTCATGTGTACAGATGTTTCTATTCAAAAGTAAAACAAATATTGGAAATAAATAAGCCATGTAATTCACGTGGATGTGCTAATAGCTTAGATATGGCAAATTAAGTGGTATCGACATTTAAGCAAGTATTCCAGCACGTCTGGCTCATACAGGTATTTCTCATATAAATAATTACTCAAGAAATAATGACCATAGGAATGCTCCTTTCTTTATTAGAAAGTCCACAAACAGAACTGTTCTAAAGGCTTTTTTATGGTTCAGTGCCCTCGGCCAACGTGCCAGTTCAAGGTCTCCAACATTTCATTTCCAAAGAGCTACAGCCCGCACAGTGCCTAAGGGGCTAACTATTCCTGCACTGTCTGTACGTCTTCACTGTTGGATTTACTTTTATAATGCAGGCTGCTATAGGATGGTCACTTTATTTTTTCTTAATTTATTTTATTCAAGTAGAGTTGATTTACAATGTTGTGTTAATTTCTGCTGTACAGCAAGGTGATTGTTATACACATATTATACATTTTTTTCATATTCTTTTCCATTATTCAGTATCACAGGATATTGAAAATAGTTCCCTGTGCTATACAGTAGGACCTTGTTGTTTATCCATCCTATGTATAATAGTTTGCATAGGATGGTCATTTTAGAATCCCAATTGCCTATGTCTCCTTCTACCCGTTACCTCCTCTATGAGACCGTATTCCTGTTCTAATTACAAAATAATAATGATAACAAACCTTAACGGTAAAAATAAATAATGCACAAAATTATTTCCATTCTTTGACAGAGGACATCCAGTTCATCATACCACTTTTTTCTGTGTTGTGTTGTGAAGTGCACAGGCAAGAAGAATCAACTGGATCAAGTTCTAGCCCCAATCTTTCCACAATCTAGCTGTGCAATCTTGTATAAACCACCAACTTGCTATGGCTCAAGGATCTCTTATCTTAGGAAGGATTCTGCTTACACAATCCCAGTGTAAGCCATCACTGTGCTCCAGAGAGGGCATTCACAAAGCATCTGAGGTGCCCTGTGGTCCTGGAACTGCACAACGGGAGGTCTTGCCCTGCCAATTCTCACATTTTCATAATGCAATATCATGATTTTGAAATCTGAGACCTTTACTGTGTAATTTCAGTATTCCCTCTGTGTTTATGAGGTTTCAACATGATATGTATCAGAACCTGGTGAGTTAAGACAAGGATTAAGAGACAATGTGTCAGCCCTGAAATCAGAAATACAACCGTGGCCTTTCCCATCCAATACCTGACTTAGCTTCACTGTTTCAGGCTCTCTCCCCTGGCAAGTCTGGTCCATGGAACTTGTGTCTCGTCAGAAATTCAGAGTGGAAATTCTTTATCAGGACAAGTTATTCCACTTTACCATTTGTGACTCAGTTTGTAGTTCACAGAATATAGCTTAGAAGGGCTAGTGAGTTCAAGGATAACTCAAATATTAAGTGAACATAACATCAAAGTGCTTGTAAAACAGATTTGCTCAGATAGTTTTTTTCCTTTTGGTGTTTAGCAACTTTCTCCCAATCCAGCTAAAGAATCCTCTCTGGAATTGAGATGTGGAAGGTGCTATATCTTTCTATATAGACTCATCCCATACTACATGAATCAGAGTCACTGACAGCAAATCAACAGGTTAATTGTTTGGCTTTGTTAGTAACAATAACAGGACACTATCATCTTCCCCGAAAGCTTTGCTGCACCCTACGCTCCCATTCTTCTCAGCTAAGCTTCATAACAAACTGAAGTCTACGGTGGACAGAAACACGTGTGCTGCCTTTGCACTGGGTATGTCTTAACAGGTCCTGTCACCTCTCTGCCAGATTATTACTGTGACACTTAAGCTAAAGGAATTCACCAGCCATGATCTCTTTGCCGAAATGTACGCTAAGTAGATGAAAAAGAGGGAAAGATTAAATGAACTTTGAAAAGAACAATAAACTCAGCAATTCCCTCAAATTCTCTATTTTCTAATGAGAGGCTAAGGAAAAGGTCACAGGAAGCAATTTCCTTATGCAAAAGTAAGCCATGCAAATCACTCATCTCCAAATCAACTTCAACAAAGATCAGTCAAGTTTATCTTATCCATTCACAAAAACAATCTACCTATCATCTTGATGACCTTGTTTGTAACTGAGGAGGCTGAGTAGAATCTATTCACAAACGTTATTATCCCAACTAGAGTGCAAGAACATACTTCAGAGACTGAGATATAAGAGTCACATGGAATTCAGAGCCTTGAAGTCCCTTGCAGGCCACATAAGCCCTGAGAGAAAATGGCCCCCAAATGATCCTTGCACAACAATACAAGAGATTTGACTTCCCCCTAATATGAATTATTTACTGTGCAGAGATAACTCTAGTATTCTGCATACATCTTCCCTTTATAAAATGAACAGGCCATATTAATTGAATATAAAATAATCGGCTTTACTAGCTCCTGCCTTCAGATCATAATTATTTTTGTTTACTCCTGAAATTTACTATTTCATCAACATCACGGAATAAGAAAATGAGCCCACTAGGGAGTGAATAACGTCATGAAAACTCAATGGAAAAATGAGATGAGATGGCTTTTTCATTAAGGCTTAATCCCAAATTTCTAAACTAATTCTGAGCCCCACTTGTCCAGACTTTCCAAGTGTTTTCTTCACCCAATGACCCTAGCCCATATGCTTCATTCCTGGAACCCAGGAGAACATCACAGTCAGAGTTGCAAAGATGCTAACCTAAACTAGTCAACTGATCACAGAGCAAGCTTTCTCTCGAGACAGTATTTCCTTTCAGTTGTCCACAGTAAGGGTAGATCATCTGCAGACTGCAAACGACCCTGTGGGCCACACCCAGAGGATCAATAAAGTCTGATAGAAGCACAGACCTTGGAAATTCTGCTTTCATTCTCTCCAGGTAGCCTGGCTTAAAATGGGAATAATCCCTCTGAAATTCTGAGGTATCCAATGTCCCTTTGTAAACAGAGACACATCAAAGACCAACCATTTGAATTTAGGGCCAAAGAAGAGAATCAGCTTCAGAAAGGCCAGGCCTAGAAGATCTCGGATAAGTCTAAAGTCTTCTTTGCACTCCCTGAGACCAAACTGCAGATACTACGTTGTTCCCGTAATGTCCCAAGAGTAAGTGTGAGTGTGCAAAGGATGGAAGGAATAGGACAGAAAAGTTAATGAGCAGAGCCATTGGAAACAATGAGAGCAATGGGAGGAAGAGAATAGGAAAAGGAGGTCTGTGTAAAAGGAAGTGAAAGGGCATGGGTAAAAATGGGGAGGTGAGAAATTGATCAGAATGTGAGAGAGATTGGACTTGATGTGTTGCTAGAGAAAGATTTAGAAAAAGAGTAAATTTAAGTTGATCTGGTGTCTACTAAGTGTCTATTATGTGTTAAGAATTGTGCTAAGTGTTATGAGAGATATAGGGAGGAAGGTTTATTTATATTTAGGTCCTCAGTAGGCAGATTAAACACTGGCTAGCTGGATGGATGGATGGACGGATAAAGGGATGGATGAGAAAGAGAGAGTGAGGGAGAATGAAGTGGTCACTGCCCTCAAGGACTCTACAAGCTCTATGGGACCAGGAGCATCGATATATGTAACTCTCATCCTAGTCAAACCGTGGTTTCATCAAGGTATAAAGTGTTTTCCTGAATATGGGACAAGACGCTATTAACTAACAGAGAGCGACTGAAAGATGTCTGAACATTTTTGGAGAACGGGGGCCAGAATGGAAGAGGGGGATCCTGGTTCTCTATCGTGGTTGCCCCCTGTGCTTTTCAGAAGGGGAGGGGGGTGTCAGCCTCTAGAGAGCCCACCGTCTGTACCTCTACTGACCTGGTCTCCGCCTCACTGGCCTCTTGCGGCCGCTGCAGAAGCGCACTTTGCTGAATACCCCGAGGACGTGCCTCTCGCACAGGGAGCGCCCGTCTTTGCTGGGGCTGGAACGGCGCTTGGAGGCCGACACCCGGTCGCTGTTGGACTCCCTCGCCTGTCGCTTCTGCCGGATCAAGGAGCTGGCTATCGCTGCAGCCATAGCTGCTCAGCGCGGGTCCCAGGCCCCGGGTTCCACTGCGCCCTCGGGATCACGCTCCGCCGGGGCGAGGGCAGGACCTCGGCGGCCTGGAGGGACAGGGCAGGCGCGTGGAGGCAGTGCTAATATTTGAGAAGGCCGCAGTACCGAAAACCCGGCGCCCACAACGTTAGTCAGAGTCTGGGCAGTGGCGACAAAATGTGTGAAAATCCAGATGTAAACTTCCCCAACCGCTGGCGGTGGGGGCGGGGCGGTCCCAGGCCTTCCTGTTAACTAGACTCTTGCACCCCAAACTTGCACCCCAAGGCGATCCGCGTCCAAGGGGCAGTGGGGAGTTTGGTCACACTGCGTTCGGAGTACCAAGTGGAAAGGGAAGAAGGATGTCCAAAACAACAAGCCGTGCCCCTGTTGGAGAGGCGCAAGCGTTGTAAGGTGTCCAAAGTATATCTACACATATATACATACAAAACCCGTTTACAAAGCAGTCTAGACCGAGGCGGGTAGCGTGCCCCCGGTAGAAAATACTAAAAAGTGAATAAAACGTTCCTTTAGAAAACAAGCCACCAACCGCAAGAGAGGAGAGGAAGGCAGCAATTTAACTCCCTGCGGCCCGCAGTTCTGGAGAGATTAGGAGGTCCGTCCCGGCTGGGTGAGGTCTACGGACTGCATCGCACCGGCTGCGGTTCTCCAGGGGCCCGCCGCCCGAGTTCTGGAATTCCGAGAGGCGCGAAGTGGGAGCGGTTAGCTGGAGTCGGGGTAGGGGCGCCAGGCGGGGGCAGCTGTTTCCAGCTGCGGCGAGCGCGACTCCCCGCCAGCAGCGCTGCAAGGAGAGCGGGAGGCGCGGGAGGCGAGGGAGGGGGGAGGGAAGGAGGGACGGGGAAAGAGGAAGGAAGGGAGGGAGGGAGATCCTCGAGGGCCAGGCACCCCTCCGGGAGAAACCCGCGAGAGGCGAGCGCCGCGGGTACGCGGGGTCCCGAGAGCAGGTGCTCTTTCTCTTTCCTCTTTCTTTCTGGCACAAGACGGGCACAGTTGGTGATTATTTAGGGAATCCTAAATCTGGAATGACTCAGTAGTTTAAATAAGCCCCCTCAAAAGGCAGCGATGCCGAAGGTCTCCTCTCCAACTCGGCGCCCACACGCCTTTAACTGGAGCTCCCCGCCATGGTCCGCCCGGGGCCGCCGCACCGAGCAGCTCTCCGCACAGGCTCAGAGGGAGCGAGGGAAGGAGGGGGCGCCCTAGCGAGCTCGGGATCGGGTCATCGCCGCACTGCCCGGGGCCCCCAGGCTCGCGCGGCCCGGCAGTCGGCGGCTCACAGGCATCAGATCAGATGGGGATTACCCGCCGGACGCGAGGCCGATCACTCAGTCCCGCGCGGCCCATCCCGGCCGAAGAAGGAAGGGACCCGCGCGCTGCGAACACCCGCGCGGCGGCTCGGGTGGGGCGGGGGCTGGCTGCGGGCGACGTCGGCTCCAGGCGGCTGCGGCTCCGCTTCGGAGCTACCCACCATGGTCTGGCGCCCGGGGCGCAAGAGGGGCCCCCTAGGCGGCCGGGTCTGGGGGTCGGGAGGTGGCTGCGTGTACCACTGGGGCCCTCGGGGCCCGACGCAGACTCTGGGTCCAGGGCCAGGAAGCAGGTGCGGGCTGCCGCCAACTCGGCCAACCTGCTGCGCGGGTGGCAGCTCGGAGCCGCGGGCTAGCGGGGTGCCCCCCGCCGCCTCCTCCCCAGGCCCCGGAGGGGGCGCTCAGGGCTGAGTCCCATTCGGGGGCTGAGGCTCCAAGCGCGCCGAGCCGCACCGGCTCCTGGACGCCACCGCCGCCGCCTAGCCGGCTCGCTGGGTTGGAGCGCTTAGCTCCACAGGAAACTCCAGGCGGGGACGACCGCCACCGAGACGGAGGGTGGGACGAAGAGCAGGCGGCCGCCGGTGTACCTTTGGCACTGCTCGCCCACTCGCTGAGAGCTTGGGAGCGCCCAGGTGGGGCCAGCCTGGGGGCCAGGCTCCCGGAGCGCAAGGAATAGCAGAGAGCTCGGGTCCTCCTCCCCTCCCTCGCGCCCTCTGTTCCCAGACTCTTCCCCCTCCCTCCCGTCACCCCTCTCCCCCTTCTCCGCCTTCTGTCTTTCCCCTTTTCTCCTCTCTACGCAATCCTACGTGATTAAGGTTTGTATGAGAAATTCTCAGAGGCAGAACGAAGGAACTGCAGCTCCGGTCGGCTCTGTCCCATCCCTCCCCCAAGAGAAAACACTACCGGCCCGTTAAAGGATCCCGGCTACACAGAGAGGGGCTAGGGGTGAGGCGCCCACAAAGCAATCTGCCGTCTCTCCAATAAGCTGAAGCACAAAGAATTCTCTTTTTAGAAAGGAAGGCAGCAGACACTGGAGAAAGTAACAATGGCCTGTTGGGTCCACCTTCAGCACATTTTGGAACAGGAAAAAGTGTCTCCATATTTGAGGAACCCAGATTTCTGGTTTCTATCAGGAAACGTGCAAAACAGGCTCAATCCTTAAAATAAGGAACCAGGTGAGCACCCTGCAAAGAGGGGAGGACGAAGGTGGAGTGAGAGGGTGACTGTGGGCAAGGGCAGTCAACAACCAGCTGTGGAGGGCAATCGGGTCTCCCGGAGTGCTTGTGATGACAGCTGGATGCAACAGAAAACTCAGCGGGGAAGATAATGTCACCCAAGTTAAAATGCAGCATGAAAAAATTTGGAAACATAAAGGACTAGTCATGCTAAGGCCTGGAAGTGGCTATTAGTCATACTTAGTATCTCTCTTCAATCAGTCTTCAAATATCCCTAGTCCCTCCCCTTAACAGACATTCCACTAAGCATCAAGGGTAGTGCCAAAAGATTTAATGGATGATTTCCAAGCAGAAACATGTATGTTGGAAATACCCTAAGAGTGGGCAAGGAACGTGAAGGCCCTGGCAGCTACTGAGAATGGATGTGGGCTGTGGAGAGGGCCCAGGAATTCTCTAGATGTGGGCACAAACCTGTGGGCCTAGTAGAAGGAGAAGAATTGAGGCCTGTGAGGCTGTTTAGAGCAAGCACTGTGTTAAACAGCCCCACCACGTCTGGGGGCCTGGACCTTTCATGCTGCAGCTGGACATAACACAGGCAGACAGGTTTACGAGGCAGACAGCTGGGAGGATTAAATAGGCCAGGCGCCCTGAGAGGGGGGAATCCCAGCTGTCAATGGGGAGCACCACATCCCCTGCAGCTGTTCAGTGTGCCTGAATAAGGGCAGTGAACTTGGGATTCTAACAGTACATAACAGGGGAGAAAGATATATATACACACACACACACACACACACACACACGCAGGCGACCACACACAGACCTCTTCTCCAAAACTGAATCCAGCCAAATACATTTTCAAAAGCGCATCTGGATGTGGTAAGGGACATTACTGAAAATCAATTGTTATCACTGTCAATGATATGGGAAATGTTATGGGAACATCTGGGAAATGTTCACATTTCACAGATAAAATTACGTGTTTTCCTTCCTTGGCTACCACAAGGCTTGTCTTATTCTTGAGGAAGGCAGGTACAAATAGTACTGGCTGGCTTTGGGGGCTCCTTGCCTCTTGCAGTTCAACACCCAAAAAGGAAAAGGTCAGCTAAGGTGAGGAATCCAGAGAAACGGGCGAGAGAGGGGTGTATAGTGAGGCCTTGAGAAAATCACTGCTAAACTGTGAGTCTTTTTCTTATCCTCAAGATGGGAATAATCATTCCCATCTACCTCACAGAACTGAATATGTATGCGCAAGCATTCTGAAAAGTGGAAAATGCCGAATGAGTAAAAGAGATGATGACAGTGTTTATTTTTTTAAGAAAATGCATGATATTCTTCTGAGATGCTTTTTTTAAATGTAGATCCCTGATGGTTTCTCAGAACGTGAAACAGAAATCTCTATGAGTAGAGCTCAGGAATTTTGAGTTTTTGACAAGTTCTTCAGGTGTCAAAGTTTGAGAGATATATAGATATAGATACATTTTAGATAACACATTATCCTAGAAGGGAGAAATAAACTCAGACTCTCAAAAATTTAACACACTTTACTAGAACTACAGTCTGTGCCTGCCCCCCACCAAAAAAAAAAAAAAGGGCCTGGGAAAAGAATGTGTGTTCTCTAATCTTTGAGTGTGTTAATTTTTTTTTTCCTGTAGGTTTATGAGACATGAAAGATGTTTTGATGCAGAAGGTAATCAGTGCAGCAGCACAGGAAAGAAGAAGGTGATGGAGGCAGAGATGAAAAAGCAGATAACAGTTGCTGTTTGAAATTTTTCTTTGTCTTGACATGACAGGATCGTTAGGCATTTAAGGAACAAAATGAAAACAATAAATGCTAGCTTTCTGAAAGTGACATTCCATGTCTTTAGATCGCTACTAAGCGAATGTGGTGTTTTCGATTCACTTAGACAACAAACACTCTACTTCTTCCCTTGCACTCCTGTGGCTATTGTCAGGGTGCTTTTTAGCTGTCGAGCCCTTTAACTCATCAGCAGCGTCATTTACTTCATTTCTCCAGTGAGAAGAAGAGGTAAATACAGGGAAATCTGAGAAGTTAGGTCCTATTTACATGGCTGTTGAGATCAGAAGCAATACCCTAGTTAATTTTTTTATATTCAGAAATTCAGGGACTTCCCTGGCGGTCTAGTGGTTAAGACTTCACCTTCCAATGCAGGGGGTGAGGGTTTGATCCCTGGTCAGGGAGCTAAGATCTCACATGTCTCACAGCCAAAAAAACCAAAACATAAAACAGAGGCAATATTGTAATAAATTCAATAAAGACTTTAAGAAATGGCCCATATCGAAAAAAGAAAAAAAAAATTCATTAGTTTCCTACCTGGGCCACTAATTCTCGTAAGTTGTCCTTCATGGTTACTAGGACATTTCCAATATCTTTGCATTTGGGGTTCAGGAATGAGATTACATCAACCTACTGATCATTTAATTAAAATAATCAGGTCATTTTGAAGGGCAATATCTCAGGGATAACAATATCTTGACTTTTTTGCTCTTTTTTTGAACAACTTGAGAATTTCCATTTACAATTCTGAAGACAGCATAGGTGGAAGCAGTGGAATTACCTGAAGAAAGTTGCCAGATACACATTGAAACGATAATTATATTTATATTTCTGACCTCCCTTCAAACAAATAAAACATGGACAGTCTTAATCATCTCTGTATTTTAAGTCATTTCTGTGTTCTAAAGGGGAGAAATACAGAATGTTGAATAGTTTTTCCCGTATTTATAGGCCAAGTCTTTCAACTCCTAAACCAAACTATTAGGACCACTACAGTCACTCACTTGAAACCTTGAATTGGGCACAGGTTGCATCCAAGGCCCTGTTTCAGTTACGAAGGGGAACTCTTTACACCTCTACATTCTCCCTGCCCTCAACAAGCTTATAGTTCATCCCATCATGATCTTATTTGGCTCTTGTCTTAATCACCCACTCACCGTATGCTACCAGACAAGTTATTCAATCTCCAAACCACATCTGTAAAATACATCAATGATAATGACACGAGCAGTACCTATCTAACTGGGCTACTGCAAGGCTCAAAGAAGATGTGACCATAATGTAAAGTATTAGAATAAGCATGCTGTCATTAAAATATCCATTTAAATCAAGTCCCTCCTATAAAATCCAGACTTCCCAAAACAGGAAAACATCGCTTGTGATTCATACACACCATCATTCACTCCTGGACATAATGTATTTAACAAAGGCAGGAAACCTACTTGAAATGAATGATTAACCTTGACATTGTAATGGCAAACAAAATTTTCATTAGCGGAATATTGTCAATGTCCTTGTCTGTTGGGAACACAAAGGAGCCAA